CATTGTGGAAAGGATTATTTATTCATTCCTTAGTTATCCAAAACACAGAAAAATCTTGGGGTAGCTCACAGTGAGGAAAGTAGAACTAGGGAACACAGCAGGACAATGTAGCACTTTAAAGACTAACAAGATGGTTTATTAGATGATGAGCTTTCGTGGGCCAGGAAGTGGGTCTGGCCCACGAAAGCTCATCATCTAATAAACCATCTTGTTAGTCTTTAAAGTGCTACATTGTCCTGCTGTGTTCCCTAGTTCTACTTTCCGGAACACAGGATTTCTTTGGATGCATGAATTAGGATTTTCCAAGATTTCCAGGGAATTTGGGGGGGAGAGGTTGATTCTATCCTACAAGCATAACTTCTGATGAGAGACAGTCAACTGAATATTCCCAATTTCAAATTTAGGAGCCATCATGTTCCAATCGCAGGCACCAGGGCTTACGTTTCTCATGCGAGACAGACCTCCATTTTGGATTGCAGGGAACATTGGCAATAACTACAACAGCTGCTTTCTTTTGATAAAAAGTTGAAGCACATCCATTTGCCAATTAAAAGCTATGCAAATATTTCACAAATTACTTTTAGGAATCTGTTCTGGTTGGTGAGCTTTTCATCGCTATAAAAGCATTTACCAAATGATTCAATACAGGAGATTGGCCTCATCCAGTCAACACAGGAGAGGGAAGTCTTTAAAATAATAATAACACTATAACACAGATAAAAGGCAACTCCCCTCTTTCTCCCCCCCCCCCCCCCCCTTTTCCCAATGCATTCTAATCCACTAATGCCAAACAAGGGAAATAATTCCTTAATAATTAGAGTTTTTAAATAGGAGGACAGAAATTTAGTTAGCACTAAATGCTATGGTTTAGTCTTATGGTTTCTCTAGTGCCATCATCTTAACTTCCAATTACTTCACAGGTAAATAGGTAAATTCCATCTGCAGAACAAGAACTAGTGTTAAAAATATTTCAAAAATAATTCCTACATCTAGTACTACTCTGAATGGATGAATTTTAAAATGAACTATATTATGAGCATACTCTTGTGGTTGATGAATACTCTGAACAGGCCAAAAAATATACAGGAACCACATAACTCAATTTATACAGCATGTTCTTCCAGTCCAAAACACATGCTGCAATTAATATACACCCATAATATTTTTTTCTTCTAGCAACAATACAAGAATGGCTGAGTTTCCAGTGAGGAAATTGCACCTATGGAAGAACTAGACACACATCAGCTGCAACGCAGAACTTGTCTCTCACACTGTTGCATCCTAACAAGTCTCTCAGTCACTCTTTCAGCCTCCTAAGTCTTTTGTGGCTGCCTTTGCCTAAACATACCAATAAATCATAGTAAATTATACAGAGTTTAACTTCTGAGCTGCAATAACTCCATTAAAATACATGATGTAATTTTGTCTTCTGTTTTGAAAGGAATTTTAATATCTTCAAGATATTACCAAATGATTCAATACAGGAAATTGCCCTTGTGTCTGGATTTCAGTGTAGTAAATTAAGTTAAACAAGATTTTGCCTGTTTTTAATACACTACAGTGTCTCTCTTAAAAGTGCCCCTTACCCAGATAAACTTGTAAAGCTGTCTCAAACAGTTGGGCTCTCATGATCTGTGGAGGTTGCTAGCAGAGAGAGGATAACAGACCATATCAGATATTTTGGCCCTACTTTTATGTTTAAAACCAAACTTTTCTTAAGAGAGATCAGCTGCTGACCATTTGGCTTTGATTATATACAGGACTGTCACTCTGTAAATGTAGAGCTATTTAGAAAACAGTACTATCAGACATAACTATCATTGAACTTGTTGCTATCTTGGAATGCTACAGGAATCCCTCTCTTTCTCTGACCTCTAAAGGCCACAGCTACTGAAGTGGCCAGTAGGAAACATCCAGGGCAAAGAACTGATGGGAGAACGTTAATTTAAGTGAAACACTGCATAAACAAATGTAACTCTAGGGAACAGGAACAATCACAGCCACTCTTCATACATATTATTTTGAGAAAGTTCATTTCTGAGGCACTGAATCTCAACACTGAAACATATGTTTGAGCCAGATATAAATGCTGTATTTGTCAGTTTCGCAGTTCCAAATTTCCATAAAAGTATAAAAGAGATCTCACCCATGACAATATGGTGCCATTTTAATTTAATAAATAAATAAAAGTAAAGCGTACAATACAGTAGAAAATTTTCTGACTGCCATTCTCCTGAAAAAAATATTCATCCTACTACAGTATGAAGAGGAAAATTTACACCACAAGAAAAGGCACTTTATAAGAGTCTAACTGTGGCACACATGCAGTGAAGATGGAGGGGATCCAAAACATTTCCAAAGAACATTGTGTATTTGATTTACAATGCAAATAGAGAAAGAAAAAATGTGTCTTACAGTTTATAGCCCTGCCAGACTCCACAATGAAATGTACTTGGGCTAATATTTATTATTCTTTGAAATAGTGAAAACTGTTTACAAATTCATAGACAACATTTCACTGCCTATAAAGCTAGCATTTCATGTCTGATAGTCTATATTCAATATACAATAATAAATTGCCCAGCATTGTACTTAATACATGATATTTTAAAGTCCTTTCAAATGCACAGCAATATATATATATACAACCTATATAGAGACTCTGCTGGACTCTTAATTTAGAGTATCTTCAGTTACTCCCTGTTCAAATAAAGTACATTCCAGGATATGTTTAGAATTATTGGGTGGGTTAGTCTATACTATAAACATAGCAATCACATAGCAAACTTCCACAGACTCATCTCAAAATAGCTATAGTGCAAGATGTATATAAGTTATGAAGACAATGTTTTAAGAGGATATGACAAATAATTTCAGATGTTCCACTTATCTGTTGGTGCACTGTGATACAATTATTCTTCACAATTTAGGAGCACAAATTAAAACCCATTGTTACGGAAAAAGGTTATAAATTTTTCAGAACAGACACTCTTTAACAGTGCTTCATTTTCTTGCACACCGTTATTTCAAGTTGTAGTCCAACAGTACAGGAATTGTAATTGAAACTTTTGGTTTCATATCTAACAGGGAAAAGAAGCTCCAAACAAGTCATTCTTCTCCCAACAGGCAGAGGTAAACCCAGTTCTCTTGCACAGATGTAGTCAGCCAAAACAGACATATCTGCTTTGATGTAACATCCCACAATAAAAGATGACACTTGACCTCCACCTACAGAGTTTTTGTTTGCTTACTAGAGGAAAATGAGGGGTCTAATTAGATATATAAAATGATTTACATTCATGGAGCAAAACACAGGGTAGGTTCTGAACAACATGTACTAGTGTAAGAACAGAAGCCTATTTATTCTAGCAACATTTTAAAATGTCCAAAGAACTGCTATACAAATAAGAAAAAAAAACCTTCTTTCTGTTTTTAAAACATCCAGTGCATGAAAAAATAGGGCAGGTAGTGCATTAAGAAAATGGAAAATTAGAGATATTGTCTAACAGAACAGAGTGAAATATCTGGGATTGTGATTATTTTAAATCATGCTCAAATAAAGATTGCATCTGTTTTTAGTGGCTATATATTTATATAATCTAAATGTTAATACACCGCTGAACTCCAGACCATCTCTGAAGGCAGAAGACTGTTGACTAAACTTGTTGAAAATATTGTTAAAATAGAACACTATAATGTTTGAGAGCAAAAAAAACACAGCCTACTATACATGTCAAATAAAGGATTATGAAGCAATGCACACAGACTTTGGACTTGAATTTCAATGCATAATCCAATCCAACCATCTGTCGACCAGTTGTGTAGCAAAATCAAGACTTGGGGCAAGCTCCAAAAAGGACAGCCAAGTTACATTATTTTAGCGACAGCATTGTGAACTTAAGTACATCTCCACCGCAATTATAGTCCTGTCTGCAGATTAGCCTACAGGAGCTGACACTTGTCACTGACCAAAGAAAACATTACAATAGATTCCCAGATATATAAAACAACAGACATTTTGCCTGATGCACATTTCGTGACCGTGATTCAAGTGTGAGAAGGAAAGTGCAGATTTTGCTACAATGACCTTTGTAAATGTTAGCAAGATCGCTAGACTTGTCCTTTTCCTTTCCCCAAGACATGGAAAAGCCCCCAGCGCATTTATAACCGAAGGAGATCTCCCCCCTTCCCGTTCTCTATTCCCATCTTCCAGAGTAGTGAGCGTCAGGCAGCTGCGGGATGAATCTAGAGTTACGCTTGCAAAGTTAACGTGGGCGCTAGAAGGAACCATTCTCTTGTCTTTCTCGCCCCCCAGATGTCCCGGACCCCGGGGCAGCGAAGGCTCCTTCCCCCATGCAAAAGCTGTAATAAGTTCAACAGTCCTCCCCATCCCCCAAACATAACACTCGCAATAACCACCACACCGAGAGTCAAAGCGCGAGTGACACAGAGAGGGACAGAAGCATCCCTCTCCCAGAACAGCTCCAGGGAAATCTGACTCTCCATGGATGGGAGGGAGGCTGGAAATGCCTACAGATCCCTTTGCTTCAAAGGGCTGGCCAGGTACAACCCCCCTAGAAGCCGCAGCGAAAGCTGCTGAGCGGGGGCTGTGATGGAGACCCCGGACACAAGTGACTAAGTGAGACCCTCACTACCAGCCGCGGCCGGGTGGCAAGCCCCACTCCAGCGAGACATTCCCTCTGCCATCAGGCATCCACACACACAACAGCGCCTTTTCCCGGCTCCACCGCACTCCGGCGAGCACCGGCATCCAGGGGCTGTGGCACCCCAGGCCACCAGCTGGAGCTGCCTGACTTTCTACTAGGGAGGAGACACTAGTTGATTCCCCCCTTGGCAAAGCCAAAGCCTCCCCAGCCCGGGACCGGCGGCTTGCGGCGCGAGCGCTCTCCAGCTCCCAAAGAGTTGGCAAGTCGCTGCGCCCTAGAGGAGCCGTGGGGCTGGCCACTCCCGGGCAGCGCGCACCCCCCGCCGCCGCTCACCTCCTTGAGCTCCTTGGCCACGTCTTTCAGGTCCCCCAGGACTAATTCCAAATCCTCCACGATGATCTTGATCTGCTCCTTCACCTTGGCTTTGGAGGCGGCGGGCGGCCCCTCGGGGGGGGAGGAGGCGGCGGGGGGCCCCTTGGACTTGGCGGACATTCTCTGGGGGCGCGATGCGCGGGGCGGAGGGGTACGCAGGTCAGGAGAGCTGGGTGACCGGCTGGGGCCCGGCCCCGACCCTCGGGCTCCCGGAGCTACTGCGGCCGCTGTCTTCCTCCCCGCACATTTTGGGCTCCGGGCTCCTCCGCGCTCCGCTCTCTGCCGAGCGGCTACACAGCGCCGCTGCCATCAACTCCCCGGGATCTGCACTGAGCGCGCCCGGGCTGCAGACGGGCGGACGCTGCGCCTGCGCCTCGCAGCCTCCCTCCTGTAGGCACACGCGCACGCACCGGGCATGCCGCTCGCTGAGCGCACGGAGCCGGGGTGGGGGGCAGCCGTGCGTGCGCTCTCCGCCTGCCCACCCCGGCAGCCGCCTGCGGGGCGCTCCTCTGACCTCCCGCTGCAGCTTTAGCCCAAACCCGCGCGTCAGGGCGGCTCTGCCCAGGGTGGAAGGAGGCTGGGGAAGGAGGGAGGCTGGTGGTGAGGGGCAGTGTGCGTGCGGGGGGTTAACCCAAACTTTCCCCTTCTCTACTCCCCTGTGCAAACTGGCCCAAAGAAGGGGACCAGCGCGGTTCCTCGGGGCCAGATGATTGTCCTTAGCGCGTTGGCGGAGAAGGCGGGAGTGCGGAAGGGAGACAGGCGAGGAGGAGGAGGAGGTAGTTACAACTCCTCCAGAGGAGGCGCTTCCTTCGCAGCGCACAGCTTCTGCTTGGACCACAGCGGGCCATTGAATCAGGATTGCAGGCGAGCGGCGTGGTTATTCGTCTCTTTCACGCTACCCAGCGGGAGCTTCTTTGTGAGAGTGGAGGGGAAACAGCCACAGAACAGCCACAGGAAAAAAAAATCTCCGGAAAACCGAAGCTTTCGCCCGTACCATCAGAGCCTGGGGAAACTCCCCACTCAGAACTAGCGGGTCTGTTTCTCCTGCTCATAGTACGTACAAGCATCCTGGGGGTGAGTCCCCCGTTCTCCTGCTCTGGCCCCTGTAACCATGTCGCTGCACCTGTAACGATGTCGCTCCGGCTTTTATCGCCTAAAAGCAGCAAGGAAGCTGGAGATTTGCAAACACCACCAAATTGGCAGGAGGGACTTGGGTCTTTATTCACTAGGCACAGGAGGAACAACACATCTTTTTTACTCAAGAAACAGAACCCGTGCCAGGAAAGAAGGTCCAGGAACGAAAAGGGGCTGTGACTGTTTCCATGAAATTGGTACCGTTAAGGGCAGGGCTTTCTCTATTCCGTACGTTGCTTGCTGGTTGGCTTCAGCATTTAATTTGCTAGGGCTAAGGGAAGAGATTATCAGATATTCACCTCTGGTGGTTTTTCCACTTATTGCAAGAAAATGTTAGGTCCATGCACTGAAAATCGTATTAGAAATTTCTATCTTCAACTTAAGCTCAAAACAGCCAGAAGAGGCAAACAGCCAAGCCCTGCGTGGATGCTCGCCATGGAGGGTTGCATCTGATTAAGAAATCTTAAATGCTTCCGTTTCTGAGAGGTCTGCTTGCAGTTTGCTCTGTTTTAACTTAGCAGCAGGAAGCAGAAACATCGCTCAGATTTCTCCGTGTGCGCACATCATTTCACATCTCACCCGATGCACACAAGTTGGTGGTGAACAGTTTTATGGATGAAGTGGGTGTGAGGCTGGAATAAGGAATGGAGAGGCTGAACTGCAAACAGTAAATGGCCAAAGGCAGTTGTCCTTATTCAGGGGGCTAAAAGACCAGAGGAAGTTTTTCTGGTAGAAAAAAACTGAAAGGTCTAGACTTAAAGGATTTATTAGTGATGCCAAATACTATTCTTAAAAATGTTTTCTTTGGGTATTCATTACAATCTTTTAAAATGTTCACAGTGGACCTGTTCACACCAGAGGTATTCACTTTTGCTAAGTAAGCAGGCAATCTGGTTTAAGTGCATGCACACACACTCTAATACTGTAGGAAAGTGATTTTAAGGATTCCTTTTCTAGAGTCATTCAGGTTGGAAACTAGATTATTTTGTTTATCCAGTCAGCGAACAGTAAAAATACCATATGACTTGTAGGACTATTCACCATTAAGCATTACACCTTGAATCTCAGATTTTGAATTAAGAGCCATAGGAAAATAATTAAGGATAAAAACATAAAAACTGTTTCCTGGTTTCCAGTCATTAATCCATTTGATAAGTACTACTCTATTTGTATACATACCATGAACAGAAAGGGAGCAGTATTTATTAAAACCTACTTATATAGATTGTGTGATGTTAGTTGATAGCTAGAGTGAAAAAAGCCCCTGTAGTTGCACAGTTATATAGAAATATCCAAGCATTACTATGGGAATGGATTAGTGATTCATGCACTTATCTTTTCTCCCACAGAGGTTAATTCCAGGTGTGTCAAAAGAAAGCCTAAATTCCCCTGTCACTTAATTGATATTACCAAATTATGAAATGGCCCTAGGTAATTTCAGTTTCTTACTGCTGGTTCTTGTTTTACATACCAATAATAATTTTGTACCATTACCACTTTTTTCATTTTAGTCCCCTCTTTAGGATTGTATATATATTAAGCCGTAGTGATCTCTCCCAGACCTGTTTGTTAAACATTTCCACTCTAAAAAGCCAGAATGCTTTTGACAAGATGAACTGTAGCCACTAATTTTGTCTCCACAGTTTTATTAACTTTTTCAAAGTAGTTTAAGGTAAAGAAGCATGAGTAATCCTCAGAGGAGTTGGACTGATTTATTCCTGTTCTATTAATCCACCTGTTCCATAGTTTTCTCTGTTTTCTTGGTCATGTTCTATAATTTTGGGGATCATTTCAGCACCTGTTGAGATGTGTATACAGGACTAGACCTCATCTCCTTTTCCATTACATGGTTCCTTTTTAATAATTAAATATATTTGTTAGTAGCTCTACTGTTTAGTGTTTTGTTTTTTATTCATTGTAAACATCTAGATGATAGTTTTCTGGTCCTAAGGTTTGTTACAGTTTAATCTCACACAATCATCTGTTTGATTTTTTTCTAAAAGTACTCCACCTGTACCTGTAAATAGGCTTGGTAGAATTAAGATTCTATATAAGTGATGGATAATACAAATGTTTTCAGTTTTCACTTACCCATTGAAGTTCACACTTGTGCAAAATATGAATTAAGCATTAATTAGTCCCAGTTGCAATAAATTAAGGGGTCAATGGGGGAGTCAGACAAAGATTAACGAGAGACATTGAGATTCCTAAAGTTAAAGCCTTATTATAATAATTAACACAAATTGTCATCACATGTTCAGATATACAGAGAAATAACCTTCATTCAAACTAATAAGGTCTCAAAACAGCATTTTTCTTACTTTTCCTACAAGTCTTAATCAATTGATTTTTGTTGGCTTGTGTACGTAAGTTGAAAAATTGACATGTACCAATTAAAAATAATTCTTCAAAACCTGCCTATAAATCATAATCTAGAGTAGAATTCATCCATCATCTTCTGAGGAATCAGATAATTTCTTATTCCTATTTGGTTTTTCACCTTTTCATCCATGCGAGTCTGCAAGAACCAGAGATACAACAACATCCTCAACTTCTCACACAGTTCACAGAGAGACCAGTTACGATAGCAGGAAGGAGGCTGGAGACAGAGCCATTCAGTGTCCCTGGAGCAGAGCTGCTGGGCTCTAAAGATCAATCTCTCGGGCACTTTCAGGACTACATAACTCCACCTCAACACTCACAGAGGGCTTTGTGCCAGCTGACCCAGGACTACATAATTCCACCTGAACACTCACAGAGGGCTTTGTGCCAGCTGATTCTCCTGTAAGTTTCTTAATTAATTTCTGAAGATGGAGGAGTAGGGTTCCTCCAGGACAGAGGATGTTTTCTTACAAATTTTAATTTACCTGGTAAAGTTTTCCCTGAACAAAAAACAGATTAAGTGTAGATTAAGATTGAGCCCACGTATTTTCATTTGGACACTATTTTGTGCCAAAGATTGAGCCCATGTATTTTCATTTGGACACTATTTTGTGCTCCATCCCAGAAAACAATTAAATGAACATTCAAAGAAATGTGGCATTCAGCCATACCATTGCCAGTTGTCATTAAAGCACACAAGTTAAGCAGTTAAGTATGATTAGTAATTGGATGAGACACAAAAGAAAAACCAAGAAATTACCAACTTGTTTTTGATAACTCCGTTTTTGGAGGAGGAGTTGGAGCTGCGGCACTGTTTCCGCATTGTGCTAAGGAGTAAAGCCAATTGAATAATACATAGAATGATTAATGAATACAAGCAACAAGTCCAATCTGCAGTTATTTTATGAGGTCCTATCCACTGTTCAAGAGCATTCAGGCAGTCATGGGTATTAATGAACATTTTCACAAATCACACTACACATATTATTATCAGTTATCACATGGACTATTCACATTGAAATGGCAGTACAATTTATTCATTCATTTTTTGCCAATTTAAAGAAAATAGCATCAGCGAGCTCATACAGTACCATGTATGATACCCTATTATGCATGCACTGTGTGATTAACTAATCATATACTTTATATAGTCAAAGGGAAGCATTTGTAAATGACACACAGCTTATCAATCATATGCATATGTTTAGCATATGCTAATTAGAACAGCTACAAAAATGAGGAACCCTTTATAAATTATTTCCAAACTACCAAAAGAGGCTACATCATAATAAATAATTGGAGAAAGTGTACTAGAAGCCACTATGCTGCTGAAAGTAAAGTCTTCCAGATGAGATGTCAAGCTGGTTTTGATGTTATAGGGTATATTTACACTGCAGAGTTTTTCCGGGAAAATGGCCGTTTTTCTGGAAAAACTACACTTACATCCACACTGCAGTTGAATTCTTTCGACAGAAAGTTGAAAGAATGCAGGTGTTTTTCTGACAGTGGTAAACCTCTTTCTATGAGGAAGAAACCTTTTTCCAAAAGAGCTCTTTCGGAAAAAGGCGTGTGTGGACAAGGAAGAGGAATTTTTTTCAAAAGACGAGGCATCCAGGAAAAAGCACAGGGTCCATAGTAAATACAACTTAAATGCAAGATAGCATCCAATCAATGTGGATGTTATCTTTCGAAAAAGCAGATCGCTTTTTCAAGGTGCCTTTGCTGTGTGAATGCTCTCTTTCTAAAAAAGTTTTTCCAGGAAATCTCTTCCAGAAAAGCTTCTTCTAAAAGATGCCTACAGTCTATTCTCCACTCTCCCAAAAGTATAGTGGCAGCAATCATAACAGCTTTCCAAGATGGATAATTTGTGTTCTGGTTACTAAATTTCTTATATCATTAATTGGAGATGTTATTCTCTCTCATTTCTTTTTCCTGCGATGATATGTGGCATTTCTGATGAAGTTACAACGGTTGTGTTAGGTCAACCCAAAAGTGGCTGTATGTTGTTGGAAGACTCAAACAGAAAAAAAAAAAGAATAAAAGACAGTGTAATATAGTTACTCTTCAGATTCCCAATTTGATTTCAACTCATCGAAAACAAATAGTAAAAGAAAACCATCAGGGCTATGTAATATCATGCTTTAGCTATATACACTAGAAATTGAGTACATTTGGGCTAAGATTTCTTGACTACATTTCATTCCCTGTGTACACTTACTAAAAATTGTGAAAAACATCAGTTAAAACAACCTAACATGCAAATCCACATCAGTTCACTTATTATACTACCCAAGCACATTCCGATTCTTCAGCTGCAAAACAATACCCTTTCAATTATAATTTATAGTCAATCACGCTGTTCTTATCCAGTTTCACTTAAAAGCACAACCCAAACTCTATCCTCAGATATATTATCCAAGGACTCTTGTGTCCTGGAAAAGAATATATTGGATTATTGGTACAGAAAAAGCTGTTCTCAATTTTTTTCCCTTTAGGCTGAAAGGATGACATTGTGAATGGGATTTTGCATAAGAACTACATTTTGGCCCCATTCTTCTTCAGTGAAGAGAGGGTGGAAGTAAAACATGACCTTCACAGCCAAAACAATGCGACATTATCTTCTGATAACTTCAGGAAATGAGTATGATGCAGGGTAGTGGAAGGGAGCCGAAATGTGATTATTTGGAGGGAAATGTGTTCAGAAAAGATATTTTTATCTTTTCTATGGTAAGCATCACGCAAATGTATTGTTAAAGACCATGGGGAGGGACAAAGTACAAGATGCAGTTTACTGGATCATTTTTAGTTGGGCACATGCTAAAAAGCTACCCAGAAAAGAGCTATAAAACAAATGTTTAAGATAACCTTTTAAAAAAAGAAACCTGGGGATTGAATAGCAGGTAGTGGTTGGGTAAGAGTTTGGAAGAACAGTCTTTTCTAGATGAATCCTGAAAAATATCACATTGATATTTAGTCATTTTATAGCTATTCAATTAATATACAACATTCAGTCACTGATCTTTTCATAAGTCATTAAAGATTGTGTTTTAAGCTTTTTGTATAAAGCTTGTGTTTTTTTATTAGTTATCTGTTAGCCAATACATTTGTACCTCCTCTCCCCCTCAACCTCCAAGGAGTCATTGGTTGGTGTCAGATACAAACTATTTCCTGTGAAAAAGTATCCTTTTACCACTGGTATTCACTTCAGTAGTACATTATTGCAAACATATGGAGCAAAGCAAAAACCCTCTTGCCTGGATTCTTTCCAAAAGCATCTCAATCAGCACAGATTGAGCAAAAGAATTACCTGGCTAAACAAGTAGTGTAAACACAGGAAGAAGATTTGGAAAGGTAAAACTCTGAGTCATTAACAACAGTGGAAAGGTCAACAGTTAGAATTCTTTCATTTACAGGAACATAGACACATAAGTCATTTATTTTCATGGTCTCTCTAGTTAGTAATTACAACCTCTTACATCAGAGGCTGTAAAACCTTGTGTTACAGATTTGTACATTTGCACAGTCTAACAAAGTGATTCCAGAGCCGCACAGTACTCATTCATACACAATCAGTCTCACCCACTTCCTCCCTTACTCCTCAAGTTGAAATGACTGTAAGGAAGTGATACAAAAAAAGCAGAAGACAGACTAGTAAATCCAATTCTAGTTATGCTGTTCATCTCCTCAGGTCCATTCCTTCAATCAGTTTAGATCATTTTTGGAATGTCCAAGACACCAAATCATGGCTCTAACCCTGACATAATGAGCATTTAGATAATTTTCTATAATTTTCCATTAATCAGATAATGTGGGGTATGGGAGTAGAGGGAAAAAGTGGCCTGCAAATGTTTTTAAATTAGAAACATTCCTGAATTCACCAAAACCCCTCTGCTTCTTTTTGATGAAAAATGGCCAATCCAATTTAAAATTAGCACTCTGGGTCAGACTTTCACATCACATGCTACATGCCAAAATAAAGTTATAGCTGCATTAAACTGATTTTTTTTAACCAAATGGAAAGAATTGTGCAACATTTTGTGGTGCTGCTAGTAAGTTATAACTACTAGAATAATTATTCCAGAACACCTCTCACAGCCTAGTCATTCGATTTATATCATTCTTTCTATAGATGTAGAGTTTATTATTCTAAACCATTGTTTAAAGCCCCATATATTGATCCCATTATATTTTCATGTGACACGAAAATTCACCTCCCTTTCTAAAACTGTGCACAGAGAGACTGTACTGAATGCAAACAGAAAAAATATTATTCTGATGCTATTAATAAGGACATTTTATGACATTAGCTAACCCCAGAATGTTGGAGACAGAGAGAAAAATAACCGCTTTCTTCAAATGGACTACTTACTGTGGAAGAACACCAATCACAAAGGCTATAATTTAAATAGCAAACAGGGCAGTTCACTGCAGTAGCAGTTCATATTGACTAGTCATTGCCTAAGTAATGTACATTTAAAGAGCAGTAGCTTTAGGTCCAAAAGAACTGGAACCCAAATGATAAGGCAGCCCATAATCTGCTTTCTGGGGCAGCAAACAAATGATAAGGCCCATAATCTGCTTTCTGGGGCAGCAAATCAGTTTAACCAATTTGCTTTGATCATAGTCATGCAGAGAAGAACACTGAATATAAGTTCCCTCATCATAATTATTGTTTCAGATTTTCTAGAGACATTTTTTAACTTAAGGAAGTGGTGTATTTACTGGGGACATTTGTGAAGAAAATTTTTAAAAATGCATACCCATTTCCAGAAACCTCTCTAATATCTGCTTCTTGGGAAGTGGTGTGATTATTAACATAGACTCTCCTTTTGCCCTGTTAAATTAGTAGGCTTATCAGCTATTTCAGCT